CACTAAGGTACGCAACACTGTAAAAAAAATCCTGAAACGTCTCTGAATATATGGGGCAGCTACGGGGCATGTAATTTTCAAAAACGTTTCTGAATATTTCGGAAACTTCTTTCTGTAATATTCAGAAACATTTTTCAGTACTTAGAAATATTTTAAATTATTTCTTTCTGTTTTGAATTTTTTTATATATTTTGACGCGTTTCTTAATGTATCGGAAACCTCTAGGGACTAGGCTACCAACAATGTCAACCGTCATCTATCAATAGGTACCCTAGGAAAAAATTGAGTTAACATGTTTTATATACTAGTGAATTGGAATTTAATAGTTGTAATCTATACTACGCTCTGAAACTGAATCGGCGTCAGTACTATTCAGTTTCCTGCATTTGAAAATAAAAGAAATGTTTCTCAATTGATCGGAAACATGTTATTAAATGAATTTCTCTAAGATTTTTCTGAAACATTTTTTCTCAAGTTAAAATTAGTTTCTGAAATTTTTTATAGTGTCCCTATACTTTCTGGTTACTGTTTCCGGTGTATTTAGTTAAAGGCTATTAACGTGATTATAGTGTTTTGAGACTTTCTTGATAAGTATTTGTTGTATTGTGTGTATAATAACCATATCTAGTAAAATAATCATAGCTAGAAAAAGAAAGAACTGTTATAAAATACTTCTTACCTTGTCAACAATATACCAAACTCAGAAATTTAAGCCAAAATGGTAGTTTGTAAAATGAATTTAATCTCGCTGCTCAAACGTATGATGACTAACGTATGATGGTGCATGGCTTGCAACAAGAACAAACAGTAATAAACAAGTAAAAAAGAGGCCAAATTGGGATTTCCAAAAAGCGAGTTCTTTCAAAATCTAGTAACCATGTCAACTTCTTTTTAACAATAACTAAATAATAAATAACTTTTAATAAATAACTAAAACAATTTTCACTTCAAACTCACCAGAATTACTTAATATCATTAATATCTAATAAAATACAGCAAATTTGATCTTTGAAATTATATAATTTATTTATTTTATTAAAAACAAAATAATCTGTTTGAAAATATCACCTCGCAGAATAAGCAGGTTTATACTTTCTAACCGGAAGTAGATCTCGAGACTGTTGTTGCTTACATTTATATTTTAAACACCATTCATCTATCTAACCAATTTTCAAAATTACAGGTTAATGTTAAGAAAAGATGTAGACAATTATGTATGTTTAGAGCATGCAATATATTCTTTTATTACAAAAGGAATATTAATAATACAATTCGGCTTCCTTGTACCCGAACTGTTTCGTCTCAAACTGTGGGGCTTGGTCTCGTGTTTTCTTAAATTAAAAGAATAGATAGGGCAAAGCTTAAAAATTGTAGGTTAGTATGATGCAAAATGGTGGCCTTTATGTGCATGCAGAAAGCACAAGAAATTCACAGAAATTTTATTAGAGTCTTAGTGCTTTGTTTATAAAGGGGAATATTGAGAGCGATAATTGAAAATACTTTATTAAAATTACTATTGTAAAAAATGCAACAAAAAAATAATAATTTTAATTCTGTAATAAAAAATAATTATCACTTCCTCCGTGAAGAGCAAATGATACATATGAAACTGCCCCTTTGATATTAGATTGAAAAACAAAAAACCCATATGGACAAATCACAACTTTTATTACTCTTATTATAAACTACTAAAACAATTTATTTATTATATTCCCAACTATCGCATGCATTAAAAAAATCAGACTGAATTGATTCTGAAACGAGACATTGCTGTCTCGTTTCTGAAGATTAAGTATATGAAGAGTTGAAAGATTAAAATCAAACAAAAGTAAACTTTGCGAATAAAGAGATTTTATTTTATTATTACAAAATACTATAATGCAACAAAGACAAAAGCAGCAACAAAAAATTTTACTTGTCGAAGAAACATCTTCAGCTTCAAAAACAATACTGATTGTCATTTAAATAAAATATTTCATTACAAAAGTGTAAATGTACTATAAAATAAATTAATTCATATGATATTAAATCCAAGTAAAAATATCAATTGTAAATTACTGAACTAGCAGCAAAGACACTCTTCACTATTGTCAGGTCTTAATGTTTTTGAAATTTAATTTCAATTCTTAAGAATGAAAACATTAAATTTTATTACTTTTCTGTCATATAATACAGACTTAATAGCTTTTCTCACAAATTCAGCTATCTAATCCTTTAATCTTACTTATATACAATCTTACATATCTTAAATTTACATAGATCAATCTTACATGCAATCTCCAAAATTATAATGACACTACGTTTTAGGTCAATTATATAAACAAACAAAAAAAAGATTTTAAACAATTATTTAATGCTGAAAACTATAATTCTCTAATGCTAATTATTTTATATTTAAATCGATACATAACAGAAATAATTTAAATGAGATGAAACACAAACTGCTGTATCATAACTTAGATGGTATTTTTGTTTTTCCTTTTAAAACAAAAATTACATTAAAAAAAATTTGATTGCAATTGCTTTTTAATCATTATTTTTATCCATAGTACACAAATGTTCACCTTCTTTAGTGATATTTAGGATACTTCTTAAGAAGGGCCACATATTGAAGGAAGTGCGCTCATAAAATAAAAATCGCAAGACAACAAAAAATTTACCGACAGCTTTTGCAATAAAAAGAGAATAGTCATTGTGCAAAGCAAAAAATGAGTAACAATTCTCGAAAAGCACTTAAAATTTCAGTAACTCTACGTCAAGTTCTATAACAACAATATCTCGTATAGCACTTTTAATTTTACCCCTACAGATGAATTTATTTGGACTGTATACCAGCTGACATAGCAATAAACAAATAAACAGCACCAAAATATGGTTAAATGTACTCAAACTAAAGAAATGAAGTCCTCAACACCATAAACTAAACTTTAGTCTATAAAAAATATATTTGGTATATTAATTCACGTGTCTTAGCAAACTCCTCTCTTAAAATTCATTCAAGAAAATCGATATACCTTACTTAAGAAAAAAAGAAAGGACGAAAAATTAATTTTGTTCTGTAATTCGATTTATTATTTAATACAATGAGTCATAATTTATTGATTTTCTACCTTTATCGAAATAAGAATAAATAAAATTGTCTACTGCAAATTTTTAATTTCTTGGCATGGATTTTAACTTTTTTTTTTACACTTTCATTGTTTTGGCTTCAAAAATATGATTAATTGAGAATCTAACATTATTAGATTTAGTGCATAACAGTATAGTTCTAAGTATAAAAGATAAAATATTAATAAAAGTATTTTATTTATTTAAAACTAACGAACATTTATATGAGGTAATAACTTTGTGTAGTAAGTGAATACATATTTTTAATTTCGTGAATCAACGGACTAGATACTAGGTAACACGTGATATAAGTTAGGCTATGTAAGGCCACATGTAAGCAGGTCTGAATATTAAATAAACATTAATGACCTCGAAATGTTATTTTCCTGACATTGTGTTAATGAAATAACTTCTTTGAAGTGTAAAATTCGCTTAGTTTAAAGCAGGGATAATCGCTTAGTTTAAAGCAAGGATGCTCATACTGTGGCGCCCTCAAAGCCTTTTTTTCAGCCTCTGAACTGTCTGTAAAAATAACAAAAATATTAAAGGAAAAAAAATTATTTCAGCCATGCTCTGTAGCAGAAAGCTACTTACCTAGTTTACAGTTTTTCGCAAAGTATCAAAATATGACCATTTCGTTATGAAAGTATTCATGCAATGGGTTCAGAGTTTGAAGTGAATTGTAATTGTTTATGAATTTGTACGAATAAACTAAAACAAAAGAAAAAAGAATTTCGAAAGATTATAAGATAAATAAAAGAAAAGTCATAATTTAAAAATTCTGATAAAAATCATTACATTAATCTAATACTGTATTAGCATCAAATTTTGCATTCTGAATAATAGTGAAAGTTAACTTTTAGATCAAATGTAAATTTAAGTTACCTTTTATGTTGCATGCCTATAAATTTAGCATATTTTGCTTTGTAATCTAATAAGTACATTTTTTATTTGCTTTAATTGTTATTATTATTTGCACGAAAGAAAAAGATTAGTTATACATTTGTAACTCATTTGCATTACTTTTAAACAGAATCTAAATATCCCCCACCCGCAGTTTTATAATTATATAGCGTAATGTAGCTCACTGCCTGAAAATAGTTATGCATCCCTGGTTTAAAGAGTTCATATTTTTACGAAATTGCGGCGTTACATAACATACTAGTAATGTAACACAATAATCAAGAACATGAAATAAAAAAACATCCAATCGATAGATTTTCCTAAAGTCAAGTGCCAGTATAAAAATTAATTCTAACCTTTGTAAAAAACTTAAAGAGTTTACAAAATAAATGAAATTATAAAATGAAAATTGTGACATAAAATATCTAAGAGAACTATTAAAAACATAAGAAATGTTTAAAGCAATAATATTTTTAATGTAAACATATCATTAAGAAGTTTTCTTCAAAAACAAAATAAAAAATTTTCTTTTCTAAACACATACATTAATTCGACATTTTTCAAACGTGTAAGATGTTTCGAAATATTTTGAAATTAATAAACTTTGTATAACAATTAATTTGAAATGTCTTTTATTTACAAATACTTTCAATTATTGTGAATTTAATTTAATTCTCACATATTTCTATATTTACAAAACTGTTTTATAACAATTTTTTTAATTCATTTTTAAACGAGCAAAAATTAATAGAATAAATCAAACGAATTTGTTATTCCTAATTATCTCTTCATTTGAAAATTTAAAAAAAAAATCTTACGTTGCTAAACATTAAAATTCAATTTGATGATTGAATTACTGATTTTTTAATTTACAGAAAAAAATACTCGACAGGCATAACGATTTTATAAAAATATAGTTCAAAAAATATTAAAAGGTAACAAAATTTGTTATTTGCATTAATAATTTGCATTAATTATTTTAGGAAACAGAGCAATTTTTTTATTTTATATATAAATCATAAATCTTAAAAATGAAAAATTTGCTCAAATATTTTTAATCATTATTTTTCCGTTTCTTTTTCTGCTTGGGAGATTCAGATGTATAAGCATTTGTAGACAAAAGTTTTTGGAGTTTTATGCAATCCCATATCCAATCTTCAGTTACGCAGACAGCAGTTTTAGATGTATTATTTTCCTAAAAAAACAAATTTGATTTATTATAAAAACGTATCAAAACAATATTTTTCAATACACTAAGTATATCATAAATTTAAAAAAAAAATTCTAATTACATTGAGATTTTATTGTTAAGGTCACACAATAGCTGCTTTTACGAGCAATTCTCGAAGTTTTGGGATTCACATACACTGTTTCATTCTATAATTATGGTAAAATAACCAGCAGCAGTTTGTCCATCCAATTAACCGTAAAGTTTACGGTAAAGAACATTTCACCTTCCATCTTTTTTGAAACCATTTACAACTAGTATGGTCTCTAAACCCTAAAAAAGAAATTTAACAGGAGATTGGGGCTAGGTTTTTCGTTAGGTAACGGACAGTGAAGTTAAGTCGCTGCCATATACGCTTGAATGAGAGAATCGTGTTCTAACAGTTCAGGGTCACAAATTTGTGCAGAAGAATGGAAACGCTTCTTGAGAAGAAGGGAATGGAGTAAGTATTTTGGTGTCGACGCTGGGACTCGAACCCCGGCTCTGTCGGTCACAGATTTGGCCTCTCAGCTATATTATGTACAGAGCTACAAGGGACTAAATAGCTTTATTATTAAGTGAGCCTAATTGGTGCGATAAAGTATCGGTTGTTTAACTATATTAGATGAAAGCAGTTACTAAACAGTTTTTCTTACAGTTAACAGTTTGAATACCATCTTATTTATGGTTATTTGACTGTTTTGTTTGAAAACGGTAAAATAACAATTAAATAAACTGATATTTAACCATTTTTTCGAAAAATTTCTTACTGTGTATAATACTTAGAATTACTACTGTTAAATAAAATATAAATAAATCAGTACCAATCAAGTTCTGGATAATTTATTGAAAATTTGAGAGATAAAAACGAAACACACAATTAGTAAGTACAAAATTAATAAAGCTAATAATGAGACATATATTTACAAATCGTATCTGATGTATTTATTGTAGTTAATTTAATAACAGTTTGCCTGAGTCATTTTTATTGTGCTTAAAAATGGATTTTTTGTACCGCATTCATCTAATTCAATTTATAATACATTTAAACAAAAATTAATTGAAAAGGTAAATCTATTAGATAATATATCGAAACATTGAAAAGGTACAGTATGATAACGAATTATTCATATTATGTTATAAACGTATTTCATTTATCGATATTTTGTAGGAGTAAAAAAAAAACTCCAGATAAAGAAATTAATTCAAATAATATCGACTAATTAATTCGCACTTTGAAGTAATAAAATAAAACATTATTTCAAGATTTTTTTATTTAAAATTATTAGAAAAACTTTCTTTTACTTAGCGTTGTATTTATAGGCAACAAAATTTTCACGGAATCTCCTAAATATTCTATTTAGTTTGAATTTTTTTTTTTCATTTTTAGAAGGAGGGGTGGGGTAATTTAATATAACGAGACTGCTTTAAGTAAACTATTTTTTTCCCTGCTGATGAAACAACATTTAGAAACAGTAGAAGGTGAGTCAATTTTTTTTTTTTAAATGTTATTAATTTTTTTTTTCGTTTCATGTGCTTGCGTATTTGTTAAGTAAAAGAGAAAATTATTTCAATAAAAAAATAAGAATTATTTATTCATGAAAAAGGAAAAGCAATTTTTAAAAAATAAAATTTGGAAAAGAAAGAAAAATTCAATAAGAAATTTTCCTGATTTTTATTTTTATTATTCTAACAAAATAGAAAAGCTAAAATAATTCTATATTAAAAAAGGGTTTTCAGACAAAAAGGTTGTACAATGTATGGATTAAAAGAGTTAAAGGTTATTCAAAAACTATTCCAAGCACTATTTCAAAACACTCAGTTGTTTTCAAACAATTCAGTTTGTTTTTTACAATAGGACTGATTGCTTAGTAAGGAAATTAAAACTTTTGGTAAATCTATAAGCGAGACCACTTAACATTTGAATGAAAAAAAACAAACAATGTTCTATAAAGTACAAAAAATACAAAACACCATCATACTTTTATACTATAATTAAGGACCCTTTTCAGTATCACAACACAGAATAGGAAAAGGAAACACAAAGATTCAGAAGAAAAATTACAAAGAAGTTGCAATAAGAAAACAGTAGCTTAAACAAGAGGGCATGGGGTACAAGCATGAACAAGGCAATCAAACAAAGGAAAGGAAACAAGGTGCAGAGAGAAGGAGAACTTGAAGTGTGCAAATTAAAATAAAATAGACTCTGGAACATTAAATATCGAAATATGGAAATAATTAATTATGTGGAAATCTGTTTCATTTAAATTTTTTACATCTTGCATACCAGAGGTTTCTCTTCCAAACCCCACTACACCTATTTGACATTTAAGACTTTCATGCTTGCAATACTTTACTAAAAATTTCAAGTTTGAAAACAAAATTTCAAATTAGTAAATGAAAAATAAATTAAGAGTAGTATTTAGCAATTATGATTAAAAATGCCGACTTTCATTAAATTAAAATTAATAATTAATAACTAGTACGAAAACTAGTCTTGTATAACAAAATTTCTATATTAAAAAAGTCATTAAGCATAAAACTTGCCAAAAATAACACAGCAAAATAAATTTAAAGTACAATTTTTTTTCTGTCGTCTGATATTTTTTCAACAGATCTCAGATACTTTCGTATCATTGATTTCATATCTGCAATGGGTTTCTCTCGCCAAGCTACAGTTTTCTTAATGGCATTTTTAGTCTATTTTTTGTCGAAATGTACAAGCTTAAAAACATTATACTACAATAGAAGTCGCATAAATGTTGCAATGAACTTCTAGGTGAGCTAAGAGACATCATAAGGAAAAAAACTGCAAAAGAATCCATGGTTGGAAACGTCATCGTAAGCCGCTAGGGGAACCTTGGCAATTATTAATTGTTTCTTAGTGTGCTTTTAAATAGGTCACAATAGGAAAGTACCCTTAACCAAGTATGACGATATTTCAGGGCATAGATCCCCACGCAATTTTAATCCTGCTGATATATTCTAACTTCTCTAGGAAGTTTAAACTAACATTTACGCAACCAGCTCTTGTATATAACGTTTTTAAACTTCTACATTTCGACATAAAATCGAGTAAAAATATCATTTTAAAAAAAAAAATTAAAAATCTATAGTTTTAAAAACAAAGCTGATTTTAGATTCCCCAAACCCGAATTAGGCAAGATCAAATATTTGTATAAATGTAAAACAGTATTTGTTTCTCGGTGTTGTTATTTCTTGCAGTAAGATAGATAACTTTACAATGATAGGCAAATATTTTAAAATCTGGATAGAGAGATGAATGGAACTGAAAGCCAACGATTGTTCTAATTTAGAATAAGGTAAACTATTGTATTAAAAGAGTGAATTGCACATTCATACAACAAGCATAGATAAGTGTTGAAAGAGAGTTTTAATTCATCCCCAACAGATCAATAACACGGGGGGTTAAATTCCAAGGTATTTGCTCAGTGAAGTATAGAGCAATGTTTAAATTATCGTCTAGAAAGGAATATTGTCAACAAAAGAATGTCACCTGGAATCTAACTCAATTTAAAGTGTACTGTTTGTTGTAAGATTAATTAGTTACAATAATGATGTCCCTTGTAAACATCTATATGCATATTTCTCTTTGTGGTCATCAAGCTGAATTTCATTATCTCCATTGGATACACTAACATTATTTTTAATGACGGATATTCTATAATTGAAAAAAGAACTAATAAATGAAATGATACGTTTTTGATAACATTTAACTTGAGATATCCATGGTATATTTTTATGTAAATTATACGCTACTATATAAACTGACTCTAATATCTATAATTATTAACAAAACTTCCCGAGGCACAAGCAGCTCATCTTGATACTCTGGAATCTTAGTTTATTCAAATGAGTGCTCACCACTTACGAGTGGCAATGCATTTTACCCTGATGTTCTTGTTTGTTTTTCTTGTTTTCTTGTTTCCTGATTTGTTTTTCTTGTTCTGTTTTCTTTTCAACTATTTTTTGTTTCACTCTCGGCTATTGCGGTTTTTCTAGTTTTGTTTCTCATCTTTACTTTCTATTTTTAATTGGCAACTTTTTTTTTTAAATGGCGGGCACTTGGGGTGTGTCCCAGCATGATATTATAGGCATGATGCATTATTTTATTGCATGTGCATTATTTGCATGTGCATATTGCATGTACATTATTTTATATTGCATGTGCATTATTTTATTTGTCACCTTTCACAGCATAAATTAAAATTTTTAACCCCTTAAAGTTAAAAGTTTAACCCTTTAGGTCTCTGCTCATTATTATTTTTACTCCTAAAATATCACTACTATTTTATTCAATAAAAAAAATATATCACAACTATGATATTATGTATAATTAACTATGTTTTAGTTGAATTTATGAACTGTTACAATTGACCCCGTAAGTGGGGACAATTGTAACAAGTGCACGACTGTCAAAAATTGTTAATAACTAATATAATAACATTTAAAATAAGGTATTTATTTTTTTTTCTAGTAGAGGATAGTCTACTTTACTCGTCTGTCAATTAATACTAATAATATATTGGATTTTTTGTTAGTTAAAAATAGTTAAGTAAAAAATGTTACAATTGACCCCACTCTCCCCTACTACATGTAAAAATTGCCAAACATAAAAATTAATCGATTTTTAAGTAATAATTATAAATAATTTAAAAAACTAATTTAAACTTAATTTACTTATTTTTTTTACTACATGAATAAGTTTTTTTAATTTATAAGCAATCTAAACTTAAAACCCATAAATCCTTTGCTGGTTGAGGTATTAAGAGCAACAAGATAAAAATGTAACAAATTCGCTAACTGATCATTTTTAAACAATTAAAACTTAAAAACAAACAAATTTAAACCCACTAATGACCTGATCTTAAATCCCGAGGAAAAATTTAGAAAATTCTAACTAGAAATCCAAAAATCGGGCTTTGAGTCTAATGTTAAAATTCTTAGCTTTAAATGTGATCCATTTTCTCACAATCCGACACGCAAACACATAAATTAATTGTTTCTGTAGAGATTGATAGTATAATCCTTGAAGAAAGGAAAGGGATTTTGAGAACGAACACAGAACTTTCCCATATTATCTCGGACCTATACTCTGGGCAGAGCAATTACGATTGAACAAACTCGTTTCTCTATAGAGCTTGCGCACAACATGTGGGATGATAGATGGAAGTGTTAAATTTCTCTTTTGTAGAAAATCTAATCTTCCCACAAACTAATGACAATATATAAGCCGTAAGCTAATTGAAAAATCCGGAATCAAAAAATTAATCAGACGTTGCAAAAATTTTGCAATTCGCCATACTAATAGAAAGAAAACCTTGAATATTTTCAAATATGTTATATTTTTCAGCCTTATCACAGTCATCTTATATGTCTTTAGGTGCATTAGAAAATGTGAGAAGAATTACTCAGAATAAGTTAGCTTTAGCTTATTAAAATAAACGCTTATAAGCTATTTTCTATAAGCTTTCCCTACTCTAGGTATTTTTTGCAAACAGTCTGGAATAAATCATTCTAACTGAGCAATGAAATACATATTTTCATAGTATATGAACAGCAATTTTTCCATTGGACAAGGTCAACTAGGTGATATTGCAAAATTCTGTGTCAAAAGCTCAGAAACAACTATTACAAGAATTTTATCTGATAACATAGTTTTATTTTTTGTTTTAATTAACATAGTAGATAACAAATATAAGCGGATGCAAGCACGAAAAATATCATTATTATACTGCTAGTAATTAAATAATTTTTATATACACCGAAGAGCCATTATATTATGACCATCCTGCTAATAACATGTAGGACCACCTTTAGCCCTCAGAACTGCTATCACCCGCCGTGGCACTGATTCCACAAGGTGCTGATAGGTAGTCTGAGGTATCTGGTACCAAGCGCTCACCAACTGGTCCTGCAATTCCCTCACATTACGAGGGGGTAGCGTAGCAGCACGAATTTGGTTTTCCAAGTAGGACCACAAATGCTCTATTGGATTAAGGTCAGGTGAATTTGGGGGCGAAGACATGACTTGAAAGTCACTGGAATGTTTCTCGAACCAATCCATGGCGATTCGACCCTTATGACATGGTGCATTATCCTGTTGCTAAACACCATACCCCGCAGGAAAAACTGTTGCCATGAATGGGTGAACTATGTTCAAATAGCTTACAGACGTTAGGGATTGTTCTATGAGGATTATGGGTCCTAATGTGCCCCATGAAAACATTGTTCCTGGGTGAGAAACCATTAAAACCTGGGCGAGCCCATTGTTATAATTGGAGGGTGGTCATAATGTAATGGCTCTTCGGTGTATAATATAAACATAGAGAAATTAGATTTGTTACTTAATTATTAAACTTACTTTGGTATTTTCACAAGATATCACGTGGGTGGCGTCATCTTGTTCATGATCTTGCAGCAAACCCCCATCATATCTTATCAGTTAAGAAAAATGCAAACATTCATCAAATAACAATGGTTAAAACATAATAAAATGTGAAACAAAATCATAGAAATAACTAACCATGTAAATTTCAATTAATAATTAAAAATTTCACTTTCATTAACTCAAAACTACTATAATGTATTCAACAACAATTGATTTATTTTATCTTTAAATGAAAACTTTAAATAGTGGCAAAAGTAAAAAAAAGTGAGTAAATTAAAATTGCCTAAGTAAAGTGCAATAAACATAATAAAACGTATTCTGTGACTATATAAATTAAGCACCAATTATTAAATAAAACCCTCAAAATACTGAAAGTAATTTTTTTAAATACCCTACAAACAACAAATGAAAAATATTTAGCTTTATTAGTTGGAAAATTCCATCTCCAATAGTATGACGGGTAAACGTCACTTGGCAAAAATTTTCAGCTGTAAGGCATACTTTATGATCACATTAGTTTCTAGTGCAAAAAAATAAAATTTATGAAATAAACAACTGCGTGGCTTCTCCTATAAGAATGGAGGAGCACTATATCTATTTGACCAAGGCAACTTGGAAGTAAGTTGAGTTTCTATAGCAACAAAGTCAACTATTGAAAGAATGTCAGTCCTTCTTTTAGCAGACCAACTGACCATGAAGCATACAGGCCTCTGAATCCTGACAAGTCCTGAAAAAGAAGGGATGATTCTCCTCATCTTCGAACTTTTTTTCGTTTTCAGCTACTTTGGGGTTTAATGCAGTAAAATATGCTTCCAGGATTACCTGGAAGTTAAGAAGAGATATTGGCAGTTTGTTCTATATTCTTTTGTCATATGTCTCCGAAAAAGTCAGAGTGGTTGGCATAGTATATTTTTTTGGCGCTGAAGTGGAATGGAACTCGCCAAGTAAAGAATTTCGAAAATGCAAAGTTTGTAGTTTTTTTTCTAAGATATTCTACTGAGTGTTTTAAATACGTTGGATAGTTTTTAAATAAAAGTTATTTATGTATTTAATTAGTTTTTCCTCCTTATTTTTATATCCTTTTATTGTTTTTTTTTTAAATTTAATTTTAGGTAAATTATTTTTCATAAAATATTCTATATTTGACACAGATCACAAAGTTACAGGTTGAAAGAGTGTAAAGTAATATATGCTTAGATAAGTTCCTGTTTCGCTACCATATTATATAAGAAACCGAAGAGAAGGGCATTAAAATAATTTAGAGTAATATCGATAATTAAGAGAAATAAAAAAACATTTATTCAGATGGAAAAGTTAAATTAAACCAATAAGTAACCATATACTTTCTCGTTATAAGCCTCCTTGAGCCTCCTAAACTTCTTCTCAAAAGTTATTTGTTCTAGCCAGTGATGGCAATCAGAAACTATAGAATCATTTAAAAGTTCTATTTTAGGTAAGTAAGAGTGGACATAATCACTTAAAACAACTCTCTTAATTAGCCAGCCAACATTTATGAAAATATAAAAGTGGTTTCAGATTTTAATTTCAGAGCATATTTTTCTGGGTATCTTATGTTTCTATTTAAGCTCCAAATAATGATACTAACAACACAAAATGTAATCGAAATATCATGAAACGCAAATTGGTAACTTTAATGATCTAGACCTTAAGATCAAAAAAGCTTACATAACAGGTTAACTCTTTCAGAAAAGAGAAAAAAAAATATTTTAACTCTTTTTTATATGTTTTTATATTTTTTGTTTTGTTGAGTTAAGAGAAATTTATAGTTTTGAATATTTATTCCATTTTTTTTTTACATAACATTGATTTTATTTTTCATACGCTCTAGTCTATGATTTCATAGACTCTATTTATTTTTTATAGACTTTAGTTTCAAATTTTTATTTCGAAAACTTTCTACGTCATTTCCCAGATTACCTAAATTACCGAGTTAATAAAATAAAAAATGATCATTTAACATTCCTATATCACTTAAGAACCTCTAAACCCTTTATTATCATTTATTAAAAACAAATCGTTATCGCACAAATGAGTGCAAAAATCAAAAAGAAGGCAACTAACAAAAGAACATCATTCTCATAAAAATGCATACAAAAATTTATAAATAAATTTTTAAAAAAATCCCGTTAAATTAAAAATCGAATTCAAAATACAGGTATAAAAAAGCTAATCCAGGTGTATAATTAAGCACCACATGTTACTAACCATCACTTTAAGTAAGCATCATTTGTTAGTAAACATCAATTTTCAATAAGCATCATTTGTTAGAGAGCTTTATTGTTGTCTGTTGGTAAGCTTTACTGCTGTCTGTTAGTAAGCATTACTGCTGTCTGTTAGTAAGCATTACTGCTGTCTGTTAGTAAGCTTTGTATTTTTTAGATATATTTTTATTTGTCCCATTTTTTACACTTCACTACATGCATAGGCATTCATAAAGTATTTTCGTCTAAATAACACTAACTATTTTTTAGATAAAATATCTTCCCACAAACGCTTTTCATTTTTATGGTGATATTTTTGTACACATTTTATTATTATTAATTTTAATTAGACATTTTAAACTTAATATGCATGATGTAAAACCAATTAAAAATGCTATACATGTCTAGTTAGAAACTATATTACTAAAAGCAAACCAAATCAATATTTTTAAAGCAAAGCAATGAACTGTCAATAAAAGTATCAAAATATGTTATTTACTGAAAATATTTTTGACATTCCGAAAAAACAGGTTTTATAGCCTTTCCTTAAACAAAATTAACTTACATAATTAAAAAACATGACGAAAATTTGTCAAATAAGGAAAGATTTACTGTTAAATAATATACCAAAACCTAGAAGTTTAGCACTAAGCTTAAGTTGATATGAAATGGAAAATAGAATGCAAATCAAAGCAAAATATTAATTAAGAAAATATCTTATGTTTATAATATAAAAATTCCATTTCAAGAAAACTACCTTCTAAAAAATCAATTAAACATCACAAGATAAAACAAGACTTATGAATGTAATTTAAGAAAAAAATCATTTTGAAATATGCTTTTATCCTAGCTAACTCAGAATTTTATTCTTGTTAATCAAATTAAACGCTAAAAATTTAAGAACATATTCAATGTTGTATAAAGTGCAAAAAACATTTTACGAATGTCGATGAAAGAATTTCTTTTTAAAAAAATTAGGACATAAAAGAGAAGAATTAATTGGTAAAAATAAGATTAAGTTTCTCTTTTTAATTTAATTCTATTCATTACAGAACTAAAGCTGGAAAAAATATACGGTTATAAAAAACTTAATTCGGTAGCTGTAGAAGTTTCACTTTTTCTAGGTATGAAAAATATATCTTATTAAGTCTTACTATTTTCTTTACTACTTACAGGCATCATTTACTTGATTAATTACTTTATGACTTTTCATCATCAAAGTATAAATTACATGAGAAAAAAAAATCCAAAGTTAAAATTTTTGATTAAAGACATGTTTGATTATTTTGACAAAATTAAAATTAAGTGAGAAATTCTTATTTCATAATTTAGCCAGTAAATAATTATTCAACCATTCAAAAAACCCAGTTCATCAGGGCATCTCTTTGAGGAATTCTTAAAATATAAGGCACGCAACAGGTAACAGGTTAGTTAAAACTTTTAGGAGAAAAAAAAAACAGATTTGCCAGTTCAAAATACACTTCAAGCTCAAATAATAAAACAAAAATAGTCATTTTATGCTTAAAAAAAGTAGGTATAAATGTTTTCTTCAGCGGGAGAAAACCAAGATAAAAAATTATCCTAATGTTCCATGTAGATATTTTCTACTGCTAGCTACTCTTCTACTTTTAAAAAATTTAAAATCGAGATATAGGTTTCTAAACTACAAACATAATGTAATGACCGAGAATATTTTGCATTGATAAAATAATTACTAACACTGGATTACTTTTCCTTCTACTCTTCACTTGTCATAGTATGTTCAGATATATTGGAATAAATCTAATCTTAACTCTCCCATACGTAAATTCAGTGCAAGTTCTGTAGAAAATCGAGATACTTTTGTGGCAACTGCATTGCGTAGATCTTATGTAACAGACCACGTGGGAGATATGTGAAAATAACAGTATCTCTGAGGCTTCTCTGCCACTCTAGTCAGGCTCGATAGTGCAAATGGATTGCCATGAATCCACTGTGAAAACTTCAAATGACAAGTATGAAATTTGATAATGATTATTTACAGAAACGCTAATAAATTCGAGAAAAGATCTGGATACCCACACTCCAACATTATTAACAATTAGTATCAACGAAAATGTGACGCCTGTGTAAACGGTTATTTAGTTGCCTTGAATTCCAGACAGGCTATCCAGACTACTAAAAGGTTAATCCAATCAGTTATAGTCACCAAAAAGCATTCATTTCTTGGTTTTAAATTATCCAAGACTCAAATTCTAACCCGTACTGTGCCGGATATTAGTACAAGTTTGAGTCATTTTTCCTAGCCGCTAAAAGCCGAATTCATCGTGTATCACCGATTTTTCGTAATCACATTTTGACAATTTCCTGACTAATTCAAGAGCACATATTATCTGGAGGTCTGTGCTGGTTGACAATTCAGGTTATTGCAGTCGTTTTCTAATTATCAAAAGGTTAGGAGTTTTTTAATATTTAAGCAGTTTAACTCTTATTTCATGAAAATATTTTGTTATATCAATAGCTAAAGAGCTAATGGTTAAGCAATAATTCTTATATTGTAGGTATTTTTTGTTTTAAAAAAATCAATTTTAAAAAAAAAAATTTTTTTTTAATGGTTTAATTCAAATAGGGTTGATAGGCTTTTTTAAGCCAGAAATCCTAAAGTCACTGTTATTTTTCAAGCATAGTTCAGTTAGTTTATTATATTTAAAAAAACATTTAAACCGGGCTAAAATTTGATATTATGTAATATTGCTGTTAGACGAACCTTTTTCATAACTATCAATTTATAAAATTCTTGATAGTTAGGTATTATCATAAGTTTTTATTTATATACTACCGATCT